CCTTGCCTTCTGTGTTTCTTTAAAGATCTGCAAAGTGGATCAGAATTTTCCTAGCACTATCATTCTTGACTTTTGTGAACTGCTTTACATTTCTCACAGAAAACTTCATATTTCTGAAATCTTGGCATGTCATTTTCTAATATATCGTTGAGTAACTCCTTTATTACTGCTTTTATTGATATTTCTATAGTCATCTGGAAAGTGGGTATTGTATTTTTTTACATATAAATAGATGTCTAGCAAGTTTCCTAGATTTGTTCAGGATTCTTGAGAAAATTTTTTGTTGACCAACCATTATTATTACATCAAAGTCTTCTGAGCAAAAGCTTTTAAATGTTGCTTATAAATTCTTTGAGTTGACCTCTGCTTCTGACAGGATAATGGGTGGGATTTAGTGTTCTAATAATTAATACAGTTTTCCTGTGGCATGGCCATCTCCATATTTTTCTCATTGCTGCTGAGAGCTTCAGTTATTTAATATTTTTACTTTGTCTGCATCTCTTTCAACTAATTTTCTTTTGAATGCCATCCTTGGTTTGACATTTCTGTGTGTGTTGAGTTTCTGACTGTTTACTTCCCTGTACAATGTTTGGCAGCTGCTCCTCGATAGCGGTAGATTGTCTTGGAATACAGCTAAAAGATTTCTTTGGGTTTTATTGTCTTTTCCCGATATCCAAGTTCTCATGAACATCGTCATGCACTTTTGTTTTGGAAACTAACTCATTTAGCTCCTTTGATATATTTAGCCAGCAGTCTGTAATATCATTTATATTAGTTTTTATTGATTTCTGAAATAAGATCTTCAGTCAACATCCATAATATCATGTTGAAAACATGCTAGTAAAAACTCCACTTGCATAACAAGCTAGAAAAGCTAGTTGAGCAACCGTACAATACAAAATTTCAATAATATGAAAAACAATAAGTGTTCAAACACATGTCCTTTGCGTAACGAAGGCAAATTCGAACATATGATTATGAATTGCTCTATAAAGTTTCCCTCCTGTATTGTTTTCTACAGTAATACTGTACTTCACAATTGATGTCCACATTTGTGGTAGTTTGAAAGTAAGGTCTCTTGCAGTACATTTTGTGATGCTACTTTGATTTCAAAGCTGCTTTTATGCCGGTGTTTGTTGATGATTTTCTCTCTTTTCCATTCAGTTATTGAGTTTGTGAGTTAGCTTAATGGTCACCACAATAGCGCCCAAAATAAATGGTGGTAGACGATAACTCATCATCAGCAGGATTTGCCGAATAGGTCCCTCCTATCCCAGTTTTCCTTTAACTGAAGACAGTGTAAGGCATTTTCTTTGCTATTACCTCATGCCTTCATTGTATAATTGGGAAGCATGTCTGGCTAGCAGTTGAGAGGTGTGGGCAGTGCATATTTCTATGGTTTCCTGACTTTGGAACATACCTAATACTCTACAAGTTTTGATACTCTGTGGGGTAATTAAAGATGTACCACTTTCATTGATGTACTATTTGTCAATATCTTTTTCATGCTTGGCAATTCTGATAATTTTCGAGGGCCTTGAACAGATGCGTCGAGTTTCTTTGTATCTTTATTGTGAATCGGGCTAGTATATGCTAGAGTGCATCATAGCTAGACCCTGGCGTAGCAGTGCTGCAACTTTATACAAGTCGACTGCTGTTTGAAAAAATAGGGATCTTTGTAACAGTGCAACTGCATGAAGAATTGTGCACAAAATTATCAGTTTCTCACTTGAGACTAAATTCAACATTTTTCATAAGGATGCACTTCTGCATTCCTTTATAAAAATCCTGCTTCCTGCAAAATATGCATCCTGCTTTCTGCAAACGTCAATTTCAAACACTGGATGATTTAGAATAGTGGTTCCCAAGACATGGGTTGTGTTGTGAAATAATTTTCATTGGGGAGTAAAAAGATATTTGAACATTCTTGTTTTGTTTTACAGTTACGTATATTTGTTTAAATTATTAATTGATTTGATTGTCAATAATTATTCATATATATTATTCTGTTATAAAATTATTTTCTTTGGAGTCTTCTATGTTTTTCTAGAGAAGAACTTTTTCTACAGAATTTCTAGAGAGCTCATAGGTTGTGATGCTAAGAAAATTTTGAAACACTACAAAAAAGAAAATATCAAATTGGGAGAGGGATTCCATATTATTGGTAACAGTAAAAATGCTTTTTTTATATTTGAAATCGACATATACATTGATAGGGGAAAGAAAATCAGGTAGAATATTTAAACTATGAGATAAAACATATAAAAATTGAATATTTGAGAGAATGTTGAAGATTTAGTATGAGATTTCTTTATTAAATTTACATTTTGTGTTCATTCCAGATACCAAAAAAGAAAAATTAGGTTAAAAATTTTAATGTATCCTTTTCACCCCGGACGTGTGTAGCAGTTTGTCATTTCAGTGAAAATAGTTTGCTATTTTTAAATGCCTAAGTCTTCTTCCAAGAAGTGCAACCTGAAAAATTATTTTGAGTGATGAGAACATGTGCTTGATGATGCAAACCTGTATTTTCCATTGGGTAGCTGTATAATTATTCATTGTTTTTCATATAAGTACAGGCAGCTGTACAACAATGCAGTGTTTTTCATAAGGGTGCAGGTATGCAAAGTGCCTGTTTTTCATAAAGGCGCCAAAGATGTATTGCATCCCCTGCTTAATTAACTAATCAGTTATTGAAACGAAAATCAGACTGGCATAAGGGTGCTAAATAATCAGTTTCAAGCAAGAAAATGAACTTCAGTTTGTGCACCCTCCATTTTGCAGCATCAGCATTATGAAGATTTCTGTCTTTTTGAATGGCAATCCTTTTACATAAAGGTGTAACACCACTATTGGGGGTGTCCTAGTATACGCATCTGTTGTTTTGGCTTCCGATTTCCCCATTCTTAACAATTTTCAGATGTATGGGACTGGAGTTATGGCATATATATAACAGTCTTTTGAGAACACAACTGGTGCATGTGGTATAGTTAGAAAATGTTGCATTAAATTTACTTCTGTTTGATTCTTGCATTGGTAGCAACTGTTCATTTTCTTGATAAATTTATCAACAAAATTGGGTGGATATTTATTGTTTGTTGGAATCTGTAGGATATATTTCTATTCAATTTCATAAATTTTGGGTGAAGAATAAAATTCTCTGGCTTGTAAATAAAAGTAAAATGCAGATCTTTTATGAAAATTGTATGAATAAGAATCGTACAGGATAACTGTTAGATTGCCGGGTGATTTATGGTAGACTATTGAAGAATGTCACCAGTTTTTAAGATCAAGAAATTAAATGCTGCTGTTAACTTTTCTGTTAATTCTTAACTGTAGGTTAGGGAAGTTTTGTAACATAAATGAAAACAATGCTATGAGTTCGTCTTCTGAATGTTTCCATAGAATAAAGATATCAGTGTTCTTATTCCAGAAAACAGGTTTTAGGGAGAAGTTGGTGAAAAAAAAATTTTCCATGTGTTGCATATGAATTTCAACTAAAATGTGTGAGATTCATATTCACATAAAAATTTTTGTTTGCTAGTTTGCCTGTTGATTCTAAACACTGCAAAATTAAAAATAAAATGAAAGGCTTCATAGATGCTAATAAATTTGGATGCAATTTTTACTTTTTGAATCAAGATTTTCACATAGATTGTGTGAAACTCAAAGAAACAGAAATAAAGATTTAATGTCAATGATAAGCATGGTAACATCAGAAGCAATTGCATAAAATTTTGCATAAAATTCACTTGTAAGCTGATAAGTAAGTACACACTTCAGAAGTGCCGTTATAAAAATAGACCATAGTTTAGCAAGCTTTTTCTTGAATTTCTTTGACATTAAAGGTCTGCTGTTAGCAACAGGTCTGGCTGGATAATTTTTGGTATAGGTTTTTGAACTGTATCAAAAGTTTGGTGTACTGTAATCTGTATTGAGCTCAGTATTACCAAGATAGCATTTTATATCGGGATAATCAGCCATTCTGCAAAATGCATTTTATAGTTTTTTTGTATCTTACAGATGCACCTGAACTTTTTCTGATGAATTCTTTGTCTATTATCACCATTTTATCCGACTTGCAAGCTCTGAGAACATTTTGGGTCATCAACTTTCTTATTTCTTGAATGTTATATTAATTCATAGAATATGTAGTTTTTTATTCTGCAATAAGGCAAAAGGATTGTTAGTTTCTAATGATGGGTATATAAAAGTCTACGCTGTTCTCGATAGCCCTTTTCATTTTCGTAATCATTTGCTTTGTATTATTTTCTGTATTTCGAAAATATTTGGGGCCACTGAAAACTATCTTGATCTGCATACACTTGGACATTGGTTCTGAGGAGTACAGCAATCCAGCAGAAAATAACAAAAGGAGGGAAATTTTTTTTTAGCCATTCATTCCGACTGCAGGTGATGAAGCGGAACAGTTATCTGCAGAGGCTGCAGTTTTATTAAATTTTAAATACGGTTTTAGCTAGTCAACCTAGAACATTTTATTTTGCTTTTAATTGGTATTCAGGTTGATTTTTTTATTTACTTATGCCGTATTTAGGAGCCTATGCCAGAAAAACCAGTGCCATAAGTATTCTTTATGACATTGAAAACTTTGTAAATTAACCATTTGTAAATTAATATGTGACACCATTTGTAAATTAATATGTGACAAATAGATTAAAGAAAATAACAAAAGGAGGGAAATTTTTTCTAGCCATTCATTCCAACTGCAGGTGATGAAGCGGAGCAGTTATCTGCAGAGGCTGCAGTTTTATTAAGTTTTAAATACAGTTTTAGCTAGTCAACCTAGAACATTTTATTTTGCTTTTGATTGGTATTCAGGTTGAGTTTTTTTATTTATTTATGCCGTATTTAGGAGCCTATGCCATAAAAACCAGTGCCATAAGTACTCTCTATGGCACTGAAAACTTCTGCATCCACCATTTGTAAATTAATATGTGACAAATATAGATTAAAAATAATTTATATCCTTTCTATTTCAGTTAGGAATGGTAAAATTCAACTGCAGATACCAAAGAAAGATTTTCTACTATGTGATGAATCTTTGAGTAAGAAACATAAAGGTTCTAAAGATAAGAAAAATTTTCATGCAAGAAAGTGCTATTTTCATCATCATCATCCTCAAGGCTGTCCTCTTCTTGCAAATGAATGTAATTTCTTGCATTAAGAAATGAATCATTTTATTTGCTATAGAATTTCATTATTAAATAAGGAAAAGTATTGAACATTGTTGTGTCAATGTGCATAGTCTACTTTTCTAAAGCTCTCTGATAAATCTTTCACATACACACATATCTGAATCAAATGATTATGATGGCATATAAAAATAATAGCCACTTTATTTATAGAATTGATAGCAAATTAAACTACATTTGTGTCAAAGCTAACTTGAGAATATTGGAAAAAATATAGTGATTACTTACTCTTTGTTTTCACATATTTATTGGAGCCAAACATTGTTTTAAATATAAGTACATTGCATTCATATAATTAATGCTGTTTTATTCACTTCACTTTAATGCAAAACTTCAAGTCAGCTGGTTTACGACTTTATGATAACCTGTTTTTGAAAGTGAATATTGTTAAATATATGTAATCTGTATGTCATTTTATTTTGGTGAATGGTATGCAGATTTCAATAAGCTTTAATTTTGAGTGGGGTTAATAGTAGAAATGGCCAGATCATTATTAATTGGGGAATACATAGGTAAAAATGTTCCATTATTATGATTCATATCACCACCAAAAAGTAATATTTTTCTAGTGTTGTAATGAACTAGCCCCCAAATAACCATTTATAATAATAAAAAGTTTATTAGTGGATTCTGTTTTATTCCTAAAATGTGGGCTTGTTTATGAAGAAATTCTGTAAAATGGAACAGGTTTAAAATTTAATGACCGCTGCATATAATGCTTTCATCTGTTAGCAATATGTTAAACTATTTCTAGTGACTGAAACTTTTGTACTAAAATGTTTTTACATAGTATGTTACTACTGGTAGATTTACCTCACCTGTGCATTTTCCTGCTTTCTAAATTTAGCTTTACTTCATGTAAAGTTGTATATCCTATAATGGTAGCATAGTTACATACATACTGCTGCATGCATGCGGGTCCAATTTTAGGTTGATAAAATTTATTATTGATCAAAAGAAGCACTTCAACGGTCTAGAATTTAAAACTTCAAACTACTAAGAATGTTAAATACTATGCAATGCAAAGTGCATCTAAAAACAAAGCTAATAGAGATATCTTAGTTCATGTTGAACTAACAATTACTACTTACAGAGCAGATGCTCTCTATCTGGCCTTATATAGTTTTCGACCGGTCTTATATGTTACGATTAACAACATAATCATTCTTAGAAAATAAACTTAAAAAGGCTTACCTTTTACATGATCTTCTTGATCCAAAGGCATATCCAGGAACGTTTTTATTAATTACACACATCAAAGGCACTACTCGTGCAAAAAGAGACGCTTCTAAGATAATAAGATATTTAATTTACAAATCACATCTCTAAACTAAAATATATATATATAACATAGAAGAGAAGGATTACATGTTTCACTTAAACGTCCGTCACGAGTTCTAAAAGTTCGCTTTTAGTTTTTTGCTGCACGCATGGGCAAATCACGTGGTGGTCGGTGAGAGTTTCAACACACTCCCACCTTTAAATTTGCTGACAAATCAAGTTTAAAACTGTAACCTTTGAACAGGCTTTACCATTTCGACCAGTTCTTGTAATCATCGATGGAATCTTTTCGCTCCTTGAGGCAAGTCATTATGAATATCAGGATCACAGTAAGTCTCTGTTTCATCAGAAGAGCTGCTTGCCACATTTCTAAATTTAGACTGTTCATCTGATGATGTTATCTCCAAAGGATACAAACACTTGGTTGGTCGCAAAACTTCTCCAAGCTTAGTCTTGACCTTAACTAAACGCACATGTCCATTCCGAGATTTGAAAATCCTCGGTTACTTTCGCCAATATCCAGTCTGTTCGCTTCTTATTATCATCGGACACTAAAACAAGATCTCCTATTTTCAGAGGTTGTGAAGCTTTTACATGTTCATAATTTTGCTGTAACTGTCCGAGATATTCGATTCGAAATCTTTTACTTAGATCTTGTAAAAGTTTTTGTTGATAAATAAGCCTTTTGTTTAAAGATTTCGCATTTATATTATCCAGATCAGGAACTCCAATGTGTTGAATCTCATGGAGAAACATGGAAGGTGTGATCGGAGATAAATCTTCAACATCTTCCGAGACATATTCGTTACTTTGCGAAGGATTCTTTTCAGGACTCCTATTAATCGCTCACACCATCCTCCCTACCAGGGAGCTGATGGCGGAAGAAATTTCCATGTAATTCCTGTGGATACTAGCTTATTCTAAGATTTTATCCCAATTTAAGCTTTTGAATAATCTATCACTTCCTTTGAAATTCGTTCCATTGTTGGAATAGATGGTATGGTGTCTTCCACGTCTAGCAATGAAACGTCTCGGTGCTTGCAGAAAACTTTCAGTTGATAGCGAGAAAATCAATTCCAAATGTACTGCGCGAAAAACAGCACAGGTAAAAATCACTATCCGTGATTTTTGTTTTCCCTTCAATATCAAAGGTTCAATCAAGTCAGCACCTACATTCTCAAATACTGCTGCTTCTCTTACTCAGTCTTCAGGGAGAGGAGCACTGGGTGTTTTCAAAGAACTAGTATTGAACCTCTGACATACAACACAGCTTCTTATGACTTTCTTGACAGTCCTTCGTGCTTTCAAAATCCAATATTGTTCTCGTAAAGCGGATATTAAAAATTGTACTCCTGCAAGATTGTTCATTTCATGTTTAGCTCTAATTAATTTTACTACAATAGGATGATCTGAAGGAAGAATAATAGGAAACTCGAAAATTTTCTGCATCATCTCTTCTCAGAATTCTGGTTTTAACCCTAAGGATTCTGTTAGAATCAATCATTGGTTGAAGTACACGTAATCTTTTGTCATCTAATCCAGAAAATGATTCACTCTGCACTAATCTCAAAAGATTTAATTCGGTTCCTTTAATTTCTTCCGCTGTAATTATTCCAAAAGTTCTATCATTAGGACTTAGTCTGACATTTTTAACAAAATGGAAGATCCAAGATATTATCTTTAGAATGGTATTGTACGAAGAAATCTTATCAAAATTAACTTCAGTCATAGCATTCGAATTAACTGCAGAAATTATTGTCTTCTTTCTTTCAGCATTTATAATGTCAAAATTCAGTACAATTTCAGAGGTAGGCCTATTTTTCTGAATCATTTCTCAACCAATCGGGACCCTCCCACCATTTCTATTTGACTAAGGTTTCCGGACTGCATCCTCGGGAAGGGAGGTCAGCTGGATTTAGTGTTCCAGGAATATAATTCCAGTCGTTTGGATTACTTAGAGTACGGATTTCTTTCACTCTATTGTGAACGAAAACGGCCCAGTTTTCATTCTTTTTTATCCAAAATAATGCATCCATAGAATCACTCCAATAATAAATAGGCAAGCTTTCTAGTCTCAAATCTTCCTTAACACGATGTGCTAGTCTAGCACCAATCGTACAAGCTAAGAGCTCTAGTCGTGGTATGGAAATCGGCTTGATAGGTGCCACTCTGGATCAAGCTGAGATGAGCTGACATGTAACGGAATTTTCATTACAGCTTCGCATAAATATGCATGTGGCATACTCGAGCAGATTTACTCGCGATAATCATAAAAACACGTATAAAGATAAATCGGAAATTCTTTCGGAAGTCAGCAAAAATTCTTCTGGGTATAGCTATTTTTTCCAAATTGTGCAATTTATTTTCTTTCAAATTTGTCAGAAATGCTTTTAGGTAAATTGTTATCCCATGAAATCTACTGTTTCCAGCATTCTTGAAGCATTAGCTTAGGAATCAGAGTAACAGGAGCTGTAAAACCCAATCGAATCAAAAATCCTGTGTACTATTGACAATATATTTTGTTGACAGGCTGTTTCACAGAACTATCTTTAAAGTCACAGGACAAAGTGTCATTTGATAAATTCCATTTCAACCCCAGAACTGATACGGTTTTATCGGAGTCTTTATTGCAAGGATTTCCTTTTAAAGTTTCATTGCTAGGTTCATTGTAACACCATCCCCTTAAATCAAATTTAGCAGTCGACATAATTTCCTTCGACACATTAATGAAAGTGTTTAGTTCTTCAATAGTATCAATGCTGGCCACACAATTGTCGACGTACATTGATTCACTTAATTTCTTAGCTACCTCTTGTTGATGTTCAGGAACATTCTCGAGATGATAATTCAGTGTGGCGGCGAGAAAAAAAGGACTGCCATTAACGCCAAACACAACGCGCTTATGTCGATATATTTTAAATTTTTCGGAATCTCCTTCTTCCCACCAGAGAAATCTAAGAAAGTCTCTATCTCAAGGACAGACACCTATTTGCAAAAAGGCCTTACGTATATCTGAGATAACCCCGTATTTACCTAGGCGAAATCTGTTTAAAATACTCGGTATTAATTCCAAATAATTTGGGCCCTTTTCTAAACGGTCATTTAAGGACACACCATTCCTTTCCTTCCTTGAGGCATCGAACACAGGTCTAATCTTTGTGGTTGAACTTTCCTTAATTACAGCCCTATGTGGTAGGTTAATGACAATTTTTGGTTTTCTTATCTTCAACAGATTCTATAATACCTTTTCAGCCCATTTGCTAAAAATATTTTCATACTCTTTCAGACAGTTTTTTGACTGAAGATTTTTGATGCAGGATTTTAACCTTTTCTCTGCTAATAATCTGTTGTCAGGTAAAACCTCATGCCCTTCTAACCAAGGAAGAGAGACCTGATATCTACCCTCACTATCTCTCTTTAATGACTGACAAAATTATGTTTTAGCGATTTCATTAATTTCCTTTCTTGTGTGGGTTGTAGCAGGATCCGTTATTCCTAACGAGTCAAGACACCATAAATCCGAAATTTTAGCATCATTAACATGAAGTGACAATTACACGTTTTCGTCAGAGAACTCACGCTTTTCATTTTTCCCCATCATTGTCCATCCTAATCTAGTGTGTACGCATGATAACCCACATTTTAGTTGTCTAACTTTCCCTGTTAGAAGCTTTCCTGCCACATCTGCACCTAAAAGAACATGAATTTTTAAAGGTGATTTTTCATACATCAAATCCAAGATTTATTCT